AGTCCAATCACTGTCCGATATGGAGATCCGACAATTGCACCTCATACAATCGAATCTACTCCTTCCAATATCAATATCAATATCACCAATACCCAATATCCAATATCCCATACACACAAACCCATCTACTCCTTCCAATATCCAATATTGCCCCTGCAATATCCCATCGTCCCAATCCCTTACGTCGTCCCCGTTTGCAGCTCATCAAAACAAAGCTATCAAATCCGCATGTAGCTATACCATACAATCACCGGCCTGTACCATCAAAGGGCGGGATCCAAATCTCGTTTCGAGAAAGTTTGTTTTTATATAGGGTTTTCTCATTACCGAGTTTCAGCTGTTACTGATCTAGAAAGCCCCAAACCCCCCTGCATGCAGCTCAAACAAAACACGCGTTAATATTTGTCTGTTATCGCGTTTGTATTAGGTAGCGCGTTTATTCTTACGATTGGTCCCGGAGGAAATGATACGCGATCAGTCCCCCGACTGCGCACCAGTACCTACGTTATTGCGCGCAGTAGTAATTAGATACATGCAGAGCAGTGGCATCTGAAAAAAATTTCTCCTCTCACAGCGCCTGTAAGTCCACCAATTGTGTCCTACACAAAGAGCGAAAAAATATCGAAAAGAAAAGTTTTAGCAACACCCCGTTTCGATCGGGGGACCTCCGGGTTATGAGCCCGGCGCGCTTCCGCTGCGCCATGTTGCTTGAGTGAATCAGCCGGGAATCGAACCCGGGTCGGGCGCAATTCATAAGAATGGCAAGCGCCCGTGATACCCCTACACCACTGAATCATGTTTGTGCAGTGGTCTAGGTAATTTATGAACCATGTAAAACACTCGCTTGATAAGAGTTCTTACATAATATTCTTGATCATATATTCTCACTCGAAATATATCTTAATTTCAAGTCTTCCCCTCTTTGGATTAAGTCGGGAGCAGCAAGTTCTAAACAGACAAATATACTATTTGTATGAAACATCACCCATAGCCAAATAAGGCTGGCAATTTGAGAACCATAACACATTAATTATAGTCTCTTCCGGGTCAATGGCGAACCTGATTCAATGGCAAATACGCACTTACTGGCTCATCGAACCCATAAAATAGCACCGAGTCTACTAAACTGAGTAGTAGTTTTCAATTGACTACTCATTAGGTTCGTCATTAATTCAGGAAACACCATTATCGAGTTAGCATAAATTAGCCTGTTATTGTTAACATTGAGTGTGTGTGGCCCATTTACATGTACTTGAAAATATTGTGAGCCTGAATCAATAAAATGGAATAATGTTGAATAGCGATTAGGAAAAAACCATCCTTGGTCTTTACAATCCTTAAAACACCTGGTTAGCGCATTTGAACAAAGAGATAGTTTGAATTCGGACCTACAACAATAAAACCTTTATAATCAGCTGGTGCTTTTATCAATTGATCGTAACGCTTGGAAAATAACTCATATCCTGCGCCTTCTGTCCCCTATACTGAACCGAGCAATAGCTAACTAATGGAGGTCACAGCGCAACTTTTGGACCCTAGCGACATCCGGAACGAAGTGCTGCCCAAGGGACCCGGGATGTAAAAATTTCCATTGCAAAGATTTACCTTATTTGGGGCACTAATTTAAGCTATTGCTTTGCGTTTCTTGGACTTTGAGGTAAATTGTCACTGACCCTGACCAACTAGATATTAATTAAGCATATAGTTAGGAAAAGAATTTTGTCAACGTCATAGTGGAAGAATTCGATTTTATCAGGCGACAGCTCCTTCGAGTTGCGTTACTTTTGGTTAAGTTACTAACATAGAAGGGACTACCGTGACGCGTGACAGAGGCCATCATGTTCACGTTACAGTTTTCGATGAACCGTTACTTTAATCGAGTGATAACTCATGATTAATTTATCACGGACAGCACATGTACCTCAGATGTCTGAGCACTACATGCGTTTACTTTTAGTTACTGAAATTAGAAGAATCAAACAAGACAAGAGTAGTTTTATTGGGCTTCTATCAGGCCATGACGGACCCCCTAGGGCTTTGGGACCCACATATTCGGGTCAGATTCTTTATCAGCGCTTTGACTTTGACTAATCAAATATGTGTATTTCGGGGATCTATACAAGTTCCTAACCATTCTGAGCTTACTTTCAGGTCATACGCCCCCAGTAGATGTAAGCTCTGACATGTGAGTGATGGCCCGTGTTTGTGGTTAAACCTTGAAACTAAAGGCCTGAGGTTTGGCTTCTGCAGGTACACGTACACTACTTATTTCCAGAAGATTCTCGGGAAACACAAATCAAGTATCACTCGGTAGAAACTGCCCTTAGATACATCATCGTGTGCATATACTTATGTGTGCATGGAATGTATGTAGTGATAATCTCGAGAAGTATACTGATATGATTTCTCGGGCTTACCGCTCCGAATATCCGGGCCTCAAGTCCTGTGAAGGGATCGAAATAAGGTTAATCCTGCAGTTTTAACTGATGGAACGGTGTTGCTAATTTGAGACCAGCGTCGTTGGAATTGCACTTGCACGCCTGACGGGTTTCCTTGATAAACGTGTTCATTCCCATAACACGGCAAATTAAGTCCTGTCGTCAGCCAAGAATTTATATTTTTATTGCCCTATGGGCAGTTCATTCCCCGCAGTATGTACAATCATTTCTGCCAGTACCATTGACTTAGCTGGATCTATAGGTAGCTATGTTGACACGAGGTCATGACAGGTGGCTAGTACAGTCAAGGTCACAATTATATATCTGCGAAAACCATCGTCCCCTTACCCCCATCAAGACCAATCAAGCCACCCTTCCTGTCTCAACCCCACTTTCGGAGTCAACCCATTAGGTACATCGATCGATGTATCACTACTATCATGAGCTCAAACACAGCTGAATCCTCGCTATCGGATCGTGTCTGCCGTACCCTTGAATTCAACCACTATCGGAGATATCAAAAATATATCACGAGAACATTATCATGCATACACGATAATGCCTCTCGCCGTACCAAGATCTCTTGGAACCCCTCATCAAATATCGGAGATATCTCCATTTCTACCATCCCTGGTTGTTTATGCAAGTTACTCTGGGGGGAATGGGGTGCAGTTCGTATCAACTTGCTGATTGTTGACTCCCTTATTAGCAGGCAGTGTTTCCTTCGGGGACTTCTTCGGGGGCTTTGGGTTACTTGATGTCATGATGTCAAATATAACCGGGCTTTGACAAGACAAGAGTTCTAGATACGGTCTTGGCAATGTGGCTGTTTTCTAGGTTGCCACCCAATAGAAACTCATGGGAAATCACTCGCTTGCTCGGAGCGGTCAACGAGAACCCGAAAATGATCTTTTTGTTCTGATTTGTCTTGATGTAGAAATCCCGCTACTGAATCACTGCCTTAAAGAGTTGCACATTCTTATTCTCTGCCCCTGCCCCGGGTACATGCGAGAAAGCCTCGTATAAGGACGGTACGAGCTGAGACGGGTTTAGGTCGATCGATCAACCCTCCCCCAAGGTTTAGGTACAGTCGTGTACGGGTCATGGATGAGCATATACAGGGGGCTGGAGCCAATTGAACTCCGTTGGAATTGAGGGTTATCTGATCTGTTTCGCACCTTGGCAGATTCTTTGTCCTTACTAGGCTATGAGGTATGTCATCCATCAATCCTTTCTCACTGTAAGCCTTATTCTTGATTGACATTATTAACCAAGACAATTACTATTTCGAGTAACATTCTTAAGGCAGTGCAGAAATACTAAGGCCAGTACCAAGGTCAGGGTCTCTATTAAGAAGTCATACTCAGCCACTTGCAAATCCAGGTTTTACCAAGACTACCAAGATTTGCAGATCCCTAGACAACAACTCTTGGCTTTATATTGCGATTGGTCCCAATGCTTCTTACTGACAACAACGTGGAGGAGCCCAAGCTTTCGGTCGTGAATTCCTAAATCAATCTCATTCCGCCGATAGGTAGATCTTCGGAATGTCGCATTTAAGTCTAAATAACCATATGCATGCTGGTTCTTAACCCCCCGCCATCTGATTCGGATTTTTCTTTCGGGTATCTATGAACCATTATGCTTAGATACAGGGACCTCCCAATCTTCAATATACCCCCATAATGCACGTACTAAGTGGCTAGGTATATGAAACATATCAAAGTATGAGAATAACGTGGCTCTGATACACACCCTACATAGTGTAGGCGATGATGGGCTTGACCTTGTGCTTTTCCCTTCAAGCCGGCTATTTATTGAGACCAAGGCGCTCCCGGGGCTTTCACTAGATTTGTAGAAACCTGGTAGGCAGAAAAACCTTTGATGCCTTAGCCACAGACATCAAATTGTTTATAATACTCTCCACCAATAAACCGATTCAAAGAAATTACCAGGATTCTGGGCAATAGTAACATGCCATATATGCCCAACCAGTAATAAGGCAAATCTATGTATTCGGAATAATTTCTCTTGGCTCAGTGATGTGTTCGAGCTTGGCAATATGTACCTATCAATTATCAACTCTTTTTATTTTCCCGTCAGCGGAGTTTACTCCGCCCACGCATGCGCACCAGACTACTGTACTCCAGCTACTTGTACGTGATATACATAGCTCATCCCATACAATTCATTGACTAAGCTAAAAAACTATTACTACTAGAGTGGGAAAAGAAGAGAGAGACCTATTTACAGACAACAAATCATAACAGAGACTAGAAACTAAAAATACTCTTTCGAAAACTTTTGGACGTCAAAGAAATACCCCCAGCCAGCCCAACCAAATCGTTAAGCCTTTCCATGTACCGTTTCCCCCAACCCTGCCAAGCTAGAAAACAAAAAACACAATAATACGCCTTAACCTTTAATAGAACCCCCAATGAAACAAAAAAAAGAAAAAACAAAAGGGAAGAAGGAACGAGTCTGGATTAATGAATGGAGTAGAACAAAAAAAAAAAAACTTTTAGTAATGACTGTAGTGTGATCCAGCCCACATGCACCCAATTATACATTCGCTGATGGGCTGTCTGGTCTCTCAGGCTCCTTGCCCTTCGCCTTCGGCGGTGTTTCCAACCCTAACCCACTATCAGTTCTGACAGCATCGTGGGGCTTGTTCGCTCCAGAGTCGGTAATTTCGTAAACGCCCATGCCCGGACGAAAGCTATAGCGCTCACCGAGAATTCTGTGATTCTCGGCGTGCTCGTCGCAGCAATCCCAGCTGCCGCTATCCCAACAGCTGCTCCCGGTTGTGTTCACGACCAGAACAGAAGGTGGTCTGCTGGTGATGCACTCGTCTACTAGCTGCCATGATCGTTGAGGCGCTGTAGCTACTGGTGGTGCTGGTGGTCTTTGGAGCTTTGTCTCGGCCATCTCCTTCTCCTTCTCTTTCTCCTTCTGGTGTTGGCCCTTTTCCCAGCCTACACGGAAGGCATACATGAATGCGGCGATGAGAAGGAGAATGCCGAAACCGGCACCTACGGCAATGCCGGCAATGGCATTGGGGTGGAGGCCGCTGTGGCCATCATCATCTTCCTCCTCTTCGCTTTTAGTTTCTTCGGGAGACGAGGAGGAGCTAGTCTCAGATGGGGTTTCGGAAGGTACTGTCTCGTGGTCGCGGGGAAGGATGATTGTAGTGGTGGCGGGAGTAGGAGTAGGCGTGGGAGTAGGCGCAGATCCTTTAATATCACTAGTGAGAGAAAAAAAAAATTAGCTTCTGCCAAAGATGGAAGGAGGTTCATCACAAGCTATGGAAAAGCTTAATGTCATAGACGAACCTTATGATAGGGACTGAAACTGCAGATTCAGTTCCATACTCTCTTCTAGAAATGGGGTGCGCAGATGAGGCAGGTAGTGTGACAAAAATCACAAGCATGAGAAAGGCTGTGAAAGCCATGATCGATTGTTGGAACATTGTATTTTTTGCTCAAGTGAAGAATTCGAGATGGGTTTATATTCTGTTTATTTGGCGATTCAACTATCGTACAGTTCGTCGTGAGTTTACAGCAACTCTTGGTGTGTAGCGGCAGGTGTTGAAGCAATATCTCATTAGAATGTTCTGTCGAAATGGTGCACCTAGGCAGGTTAGAGTAAGTTGAGATGGATGAATATGTAAATATTGATATGTGATGTGAACGACGAAGTGAACGTCGGGGGGATGCCGTTGAGTATATAAGCCCTGGCCCTTGGCGCTAGCTTGAGGGCTTTGGATGGGATGACGGTAAGTATACCTGGTGTGTTTGGTAAGATGGGAAAATGTGGCTTGTGATGTGACTCGATAATGGAAGAAAAATTTCTCCTTGCTAGAAATCACCCCAGGCAGGCACGGAGAGAAGAGAGAAGAGGGTAAGACCTGGACCGTGATCTAAAATCAGGGATGACCCAACAAAGGAGGAGGAGGGCTGTTCTGGCTCCGGCAAATACCCGAGAGGCGAGGAAGACTCAAGCTTCGTTGACCTTCAGATTGTGCTTGAAAGGGGTGACGACATTTTCTCTAAAGGACTCCCACTGGCAGATGGGCTGCAGGTCGAGTGATTGAGAGATTATGCGAGTGAGATAACAACCCCCGATTCAGCCTCCCCCACTAGCTGGTACCTACCTGCTGTCTTCAATTCCTCTCGCTCGTATCCTCTGCGCTCTGCGCACCGCCTATGTGCAGCTCAATCCCACCTCTGGCCGTTACATCAGATGGAAAATGCACTCGACTGTGTTTGTTGGGAATTCCACAATTGAGTACGGATGAACCATGCCCTTGGAGTTCATAATAAGAACTCTGCCATGCTAGCAAGTTGATCTTCTTCGAGAACCCCCCCCCCCAACTTCTCATAGAAATTTGATAGAGTTTCACCATGGCAGGGGTTGACTTTGAGAGTCGTCAATCCTTTCCAAATGTCTCATCCAAAATCATAGGCAAATAACTTGGGCAAAACCCCCCGAATCATGATGCATGGCTTCCTTCCTTGCCGAATTTTTTTGATGGCACAGTTGTTCCGGTTTACTTTCCACGCCCCACCCGATATTCCGCAGGGTTTGGCGAGCCCGGCCTAACCGTGTTTGTGACGAGTCACGCCAAACCCAGGGGAAGAAATCTTGGGATCTGTGCAACCGTGTAACAATTCGACATGGTGGGAAATGTGTCGCGTGCCCTCTACCCAAACCTGAACTGAGGGGCGAACCCCAGCCAGAAACCACAACCTACACATCCAACGGCTTCACTCGCATACTTAGCAACCAATACACAATGCCTTTTCACGACCATTACAGCCGCAAAAACAATGACTCTCTTTGGATACGATTCAATGAGTCCCAAGAAATTCACTCAATCAACTTCCGATAGCTAATTGGATGGGGAAATGGTCTTGACAAAGATACTGGAATCAGAAGCAGCATCCCTGCCTCAAGAAAGAGTCTAGCACATACCATACATATCTTTAATCACCTAGGCGGGGAAAGATACGCGCTGTCTCAACATATCCATATTATGTGGCGCATAGGTATGTAAGTAGATACCAGTCGTCAATTGACATCAATATTATGTGCGTTGCAGGGCGACACATGAAGAGGTTTTCACCTACCAAGTGACAGCTGAACAAGCCTTGACTCTAAGCATGTCACCCACTGCACCATCAATAGTTGCCGAACCCGTACCGTACTTGCTGCATATGATTCTTTGCGTCCAAGTTTTTGATCTGCCCCGTACGGTTCGCCGGCCTGATAGCGAGAAAAAAAACATCCTGGCATCACATTTGATTGAATCTTCCGGCGAGGTATAAAAAAACCTGGATTAACTATAGGGACATGCATTAAAGAAATTGAGTAGAGCACCTAAATGATTAATTGATCAAGGCTGGGAGTACCATATCAAGCCAGTAACGCACGGTACTCCATGTTTTGCCAACTGAGATTTGCCATACCTACAGCCCCTTTCCCTTGTGTTCCCCACAAAAATTCCGTGACCCACAATCTGAGCACTTTCAGCGGGATTTATCGATAGGTAGTTCTGTCGCTAGTAACCTGAGACCAAAAATATCTGGTTCATCAAAGACACCAGGGCGCAATAACACTCTGTTGGAATATCCGAGTCCCTAAGGACTGGCAATTATGTTTAAGGCCTATCCTAGGCCCCCCTCGATCCCAGTAGCAGGGAATCGGAAGATGCAGGTCACTAATATTTCCCAAGCCTCAAGAATGCTGAAATTTAGGAAGCACATCAAGAAGCGGCAAAACACAAGCCGTCGATATCCAGGTTCATGCGGGCTTTTGTTAGAATTAAATAACTGAGGCCTGATATCATACTCGTAATGATCTCCAATGGATAACATCATGATTACTTGAATTTCATCAAACTTATGGAAGAAACTCGATCGCAACCTACCCTGACGTCAGTCCTCTGATTTTATATCGAATTCTCTCCCAAAATGTGACACCGGTCACAGAAGAAGTCGGTTTGAATGTTATGCATGCAAGAAGCGACATGGTGTTTTCGGAACTCCATCCCGGCCTAATAGGTTCTTCCGAGGCAAGGTATAATACTAGTGTCCCTTGTACCCTCGTGCTTACTCCCTTCTTTGAGTGAGAAAACCGAGGAGCTGACATTTTTCTCCGGTGTTAACCTAGATGGAGTGCTCCAAGACGGGTCTTTACTCCATAGCTAGCTGGGCATGGCTATCGTTCCCGGACAATTATTTTTGACTTCAACCTTCAATCTCGTCGTGATATATATAACGCAGATAATATAGTGATATTACCGTGAATATTGGAATTTTTACCAACGACCGTGTTGAGTCCTAGCCATGGGGTATGCAGCCTAGCTACATGTAGGTTGCATGTACTCTAGGAACGTACTCTGAAATACATTAGTGTCCCGATGCTTAGAACTATTGTCTAAGGATCTCTTAGACTACATAGGTCAAGTCCTTCTAACGCATGCACAATGGCCTTGGGATTTTACATTTAGTGCTAGGACGGAGTAAAGTCTTTCGCAAAAAAGCTCTGTTATTCAGCGCAAAAACCAAGGTGCTTCAAACCCTTCTCTAATAATGACTTATTCCATGGGTGTTCTTGCATATTCATGATCTGCAGCCCAGTTTGTACCTGAACAACCAACCACACAGCATATGAAAGTTCGAGCGCCATGCATATGCGGACATTTCCGAAACTCCAGGTGATAAGGGCAACACAGAAAGATGACCTTATAAAGCCACCACTCAGATGAGGATACTGGCGGGATGTTACATTCTCACTGGTTCCAATACCGAAGATCTAAGGAGTCTTTATGCGGCCCAAAAGCCAAGGGTCTGCAAATATGATCATGATCGTGCTGCGTAGAGGTCTCTTGAGACTCTGGGACCGGGAAGATAGTGAGTTATGTGCATGAAGCCACCTTTCATAATAAGATAATAGGCAGGAGTATTGTATCGCTGTGTTATCCAACAAACGCGTGCGCTTGTGATCTTCAATATGGTGCCATAATAATCTGGCTCAGGGTTCCGGTCCTCTTGGCGCAACCGCGATCACGCATATCGCGTTACTTCTGAGGAAATTATCATAACTCTGGTTCTTTAAAGAGCGAAGGCGCAGTGAGATGCGTTTTATCATATGTATTGTCAATTAGCCATTACTGGAACAATTGTTTTAACTTTTGCGGGGAGGCTTGGACCTCATAAATTAATGACTTGCAAAACCCAAGTCTTTTTAGCGCTGAAGATGAAGCGGTCATCCGTTTCTTGGAAATTATAGCATTGGTTATGTCCCAGTGGTATTGGCAGCATTCAGCGCCAATGTTAGTTCAGCCGGTCTTGTAACCTCAGTGACGGATTCCTATAAACAACTTAGCTTACTAACTGTGATCGGTCATGATCACCATTGTGATGGTAGTATATTATGCATACCTAATCTACAATGTATTAACCATTTTAACCCAAAGCGGTTTAATTTACGCACAGAAATACCACTGTACATTAAGCCTAGACTAATATAATCATCATTGGATATGCGTGAATACAATTTAGGTACCTGGAGCCAAGACGTATCGAAACATATGGAAATCAGACTTACACTCTTATACTCTGTGTCAGCCGAGCTATATCTCAGTATTCCACGTATCCTCAAAATGGACAGAGTCATAAGCTATCACTCGGTAACAGTGGTTACCCAACTACAAGGACGATATATATTTTCATTCATCATATAGTCTTGCCACGTACGTGGAAGAGTGTATGTTTATAATCGTAGATCTTCTTATGTAAACAAATATATGTTATAGATCACAGCAACAATCGTTGTTAAGGAAGGTTGACCGATATATGTGTGGATAATGGACAGGATTGGGGATGAGGAGAAAGAGAGGAGATCAGGGTGAGGAAGAAGAAGAAGAAGAAGAAGAAGGGCCCATAAGTACATATACATGTAGTCGATTGAGACCCGTTAGGTATACGTATACGTGTAACAGCTCCCATAGTTCATTGCCATTACGTGCTTCACCATTTCTACCTTACGTGTACAATTGCAGGTGTTCCAAACGTGACATGCGCGATGTACAAAACACATATACATGTGCTCGAGCGTGCCTAACAAACAACCAACGAATTACCAATCGATTAATTGAGCGTGTCTACATTCCAAGTGAATCTCAATTCAACCGAGTGATAACCGGTGATACACATTGATCGTAATAAGCATTGATGCCGTTCCGTGCCGACCATTTTTTTTAAAAATAACGGTGGATTTATTTCGAATACATATTTCGAAACCACCTACATGTACGTAACTTTCGTCCTCGGCTCATCGCTTTCAACTTTCAAGCAGAGAATTGCGTATATCACGTGTTTCAACCAGAGTTCATGTCACTTCTAGAATACCCTGAAGACCCAACTACAACCCCAAAAGATAAACAAGTCAAGCTAAGTGGCTACTATCTCATTCTATCCAGTTTCCATAACAGCCACTTACCATATATATCCCGCGCGCCTGTACAACTGCAGCCAACAACCAACCCATCATCTCGCATCCACCATTACCAAACATCCACCCACACCACAAACAACCTTTCCGCCATGAAGATGCACGTTTCCACCACCGACACTGATCTTCAAGTCTCTGTCCAGTACGCCCGCCACCCTGACGAGGCCGAATCCGATGATCAAATCGACATCGTCCAAACAATCCAAACTGGACAAAGCGCCCCTCCCCGCTCCAAAGGAAACGCTGCGGTATAAATCCAGTCCACCACTTTTTGCTTTATGAGAAATACTGATGCTTCCCAGGAGTCCTACATCCACATTCCACGTGGAGCGAATTTGAACGATTATCTCCCCGTTAAGACCAAGGATGGAAATCGCAAGGGCTAAAGTGATCAAGGTCATGGAATTGTTGAGAGGGTAGGCTTCAGCCTTAGGAGGCCTTGTGGGCACCTGGTTGGCAAGTCGTTGGAACCTTAGTAAGGCAAGAGTGGAGGATAAATTATTTAAGCTTCAATTTTTTATGTCAAGAAATTCGAAACTCACAATAAATGAGATAAATATGCAAAAACAGTTCGCCATTGATCAATTCTCTATTAGTCCGAAAGGTATTATCTTATTCTCTTTGTGAAAATAGCTCCAACTCGTCCTTGTTAGGACCCCAGGATTTTCTAATACCTGAACCAATAGCTCGTGTACTTGCGGTGGAGTTAAGTATTGCCTCTCGTAATAGCAACCATCAACTTCACCACCTCCTTAAGCCCACCAACCATCGCAGTAACCAATGGGAAACGTCAGAGGGAATTACTTCTGACTTTAGTACACTTGGTTTTAGCTATTGGTTGTGGTTTTGTAGGGTCTCGAGTATGGTGGGATTGGATTGTTACCAGCGAAATTGGAATAATATTTAGTTTCACCGCAAGTATATATAAAGTATTTAAATTCTAGGATGTACACTATATAATAAAATAATGCACAAATCAATCACCTGCAGATGGTTGTCCTGTTGTATTGACATAGGGTTAGGGTTTCGATTCATACGCCTTTGTGGCTTCTTTCGTAGATACACCCTTGTGGCCTCTTCTATTAAGACACATATGCGTCATGTAGCCAGGAACCTCACGAACCTCAATTCTTTGATTCAGACTTCAAGACAATACACATGCATCACTCATCATCTATCCGTTCATTGGTTATATGTATTAATACAGGACTGGAAGTCCTTACTCGGTGTATCACATCACATCACACCTACTCAAGCTTAGAGAATGAACACACATACCTATATATCGATACGAGCTCACGCGACTATCATCAATCAACCCACATCATTGATCAATGCTCGGCCTCCGGCGTATGGTATTCAACGTATTTCTTGGCAACCACGGATTATTGCTACCGACCTTCCGGATACAGAATTAGTACCGGCGGTAACTTATCCACCAAAGCCCAATGATTGGCCGAGCATGCCAAGAGCTGAATAACATTCCAAACCCGCAAAGAGAAATGTACCTACTCTACGTACATCACTCAATCCGCACAGATAGGTACTTAGTTGGAACGAAAAAAGCTACATCTCCGGAAGCACGATCAGTGGAGAGCCTCATAAAAAAAAAAGTTAGCTATATAACTCGCATTCCCGGGCCCCAATTTTAACTGCACTCCTAGGTCCTTAGCACTCCATCACCAACACCAAAATAACTGAACCAATTGATCATGGCCGCTACAGGAAACGGCATCAAGACAACCATGGCCACCCCCGCTAGAAAGTTCTCGATACGCACCGCGACACTCGCCGACGTGCCTCGCCTTGCATCCATCAGCGCCCCCGCACTTATGGACGATGGCTTCTACGATGTACTCTACCCGCGCCGCCGCGAGTTCTACGACGATTACCTCCACACATGGAGGCTCAAGCTGCAGAAGGGGATCCTCTCTGATGCCGTCTATCTTGTTGCTGAGACCGACGTAGCCGACGAATCCACAGGGCGATCCAGGAAGGAAATCGTAGGCTGGATCGCATGGCAGCGCATGGGGACATCTGCGGAAGCCGAGAGGATCCGGGCTGAGGGGCAAGGAGTACTGAAACGTATGTCTTCTGAAACGCTACGCATACATATGATATATAATATACACCCTCTATAGTTCAGCAGTCCCTGTGCTAACTTCTCTTTCCGTAGGACTGGAGCATAAACTATTGACACTCACGAACACCTACGTCTCCCCGCTCATCCGTTTTGTCCTGCGCACACCCCCGGACCGCTCCGCCGACGCCGCTGCGCTAGCGAAGATGGAGGCTCGTCATCCAACGTTTCTGGCGGAGACGTTTTCAGGGATATACGCCGAGCACTGGCACGTTCTCATGCTCGTCGTTGACCCGAAGTGGCAGCGGAGGGGGATCGGGCAGATGCTGGTACGATGGGGACTCGATAGGGCGCAGAAAGAGGGTGTGTGTGTAGGGCTGGAGGCGAGCGATCCGGGGGCTCCGATGTACTTGAAGTTGGGGTTTGAGGAGATTGGGAGGTTCCATACACCAAGGGAGGGGCTGCACTTTCCAGCTTTGGTGTGGAGGCCGAGGGGGATGGAGGGGAAGGATACGGTAGTGGGTTAGGTCTTGGACACCGGTGACGGATGCATTGTGCTTTTGGGTTAATTGGTTGATCAACAAGCAAAGGGTTCTGCAATTGGATAAGAGCGTCAGCCAGCTACATGTACTACGGATGTAGGTACACCACTATACGTAATGATAATTTTTTTCCCGGGGATTAGGGTTTCCACTGTGGGGTTTCTTTTGACCCAAGCACGGTATCGTGCGGGTTTTCTGGGAAAGACTGGCTTGGCTGGGTGACTGAAACCGAGTGATATTTGGTGATCGTCACCATCGAACCGTTAACGCACGGATTCTCTTTTTTCCTAAAAGCTCAAGCGAAAGGTCCATTTCAAACTGTCCATATAACTAGATCTTTGAATAAACGAGGAATATGAAGTAAATAGAAAAAGAAAAAAACACTTGAAAGCGGGCGTAGAAATCATTGTAGGATTGAAATGCATTAATCACCCTCTCTGTATTTAAAGGCTTTCTACGCCGAAAAGGATTTATCTAAATCACACATTCTATCCACAATAAAAGTAAGCCAGCATACCAACATAACACTATCTAGATTCTTAACAATCAAGCCAGATATACCGATCTCATTAATTTCATCAATTCCACCACAACCACCACAACCACAACCAACACCACAACCCCCAACAATACCACCACCATGTCCACCAACCCCAGCACCCGCCTCGCTGACCTCCGCACCCAAATCCACACCCTCACCACGCAGCACGAGACCCTCGAAAGCGAGCACCTCTTGCTCTGCTCCTACATCTACACCGGCGGCACCCTTGGCACCTTCTTTAGCTACGCCGTCAGCGCCGAGAAACAGATCTCGGACCTTAAAGAGTGGGAGGGCATCCAGGCGAAGAAGAGACAGCTTGTCAAGAGGATGGAGAATATCGTTGCGGTGCGTGAGGAGCTGAAGGAGAGGGAGAAGGAGGTGTTGGGGTTGGCGTTGTAAGTTTGTATGGGGAGGGGGGAGGAGGGGAATTAAAGGGCGGAGCTAGAGGGGAAGTTGCTTTTATGCGTGTTTAGATTGCGTGTTTTGAGGAAAAGCGGTGGGGTACTGATAGAGTAGCGTAGCGTAATGAATTGAGTTTTTTTTTTTTTTTTTTTTTTTTTCGCAAGCTTTGCTTTGAGTATTTATTTAACCAAACACGTGAATAAACTGTGCAAGCTGGCCAATATTTCGATACAAGGGAGTGCTTTACTACTACTCTTCTGGCAAACGTCCTACTGGTACCCGATCGTGCGCATTATTCAACTATGCTACCGGGCTTTCTGCATATACATGGAGCGAATTCCGAATATCCCCTCTAGCTCTCCCGCTATTAATTGCAGATAAGATCCAGAGAGATAAAGTCATCTATGAACCAAGGCCACTCCGTCTCGGGGGTCTACTTTAGGGTGAGCATCTGCGTTAGGGTGGTCAGCACTTTTTCGCTTGTCCCGCTCACGTACAAGTAGGCCTGTGACCGTGATTGATCCCTTACAGCGCGGCCCGAGTACAGGTACCCGGGCCCCTTACAAGTACCTATATACCCGTGTAGATGGAAGACTTCACGCTATCGATTAAGTGTGTACATTAAATACTTGCACACTCTAGATCTAAATAATAGAAACATCCCAAAAAGCTACACATGTAGAATATCCTGCGATCGCGGCCAATTACCGGATTCCGAGAGCACGTAGGTCTTTCGATTTCTATCGCAAGGATATATTAGTGGCTTCGTTTAAGACAAATCGACCATTGCGGTACCACATCTGGTATTCCCCAAGTACACTCCACCTCTGCCCACCTCACCCGCGAACAAGAATGGGTCCGCCCCCAGTAAGCACGCCGAGTGAGCAGCCGTGACTCTCATTCCACCACTGCCCACCACCCACTCCTAATCCACGCCAAGCCGCAACCTACCCGGCTCTCCCCTACTAATTATCCTACTAACCTAACCTACTAATCTACCTAGTCTACTCCACATCGCCAAACAAAACATCCGAAACACCGCACGCCATTGGCCCGGAGCACACGATGTATTAAGAAATAAGACCTGACCATCACATCGCATCACATCACGACACCAACACCAACACCAACACCGCCCAATGCACGTACTGGCCCACTTCGCAATCTGGATCTGAGTCTGAATGTCTGAACTAATGATTGCCATCGCACATCCCACAACGCACGCGCAGTGATCGGGCACTCATCGCATGTGTACCTACAGACGCCACGATCATCATGACCATCACCTCAAGGGAAAAAAAAGCTTAAATAAATAGCTCTCCGCACTAACCATCTACACCAACGTCCTACACGTCACATCAATTCCCGATCCCGCTTGGCTGCGCTGGCTGGATTTTTTTTAAACTTTTTTAGATATGCCAACTACATTCCTGATATTCATTCCGTTTCTTCGCTCTACGTAACTAACGTAACTAATTCGTAACTAATCGTAACTATACTACCCTGCCCTGCCTTGCCCTGCGTACGCGTATGCCATTATATATATACCAGCTATCCGGCCGCGCATACCCCCCCCCCCCAAACCTTCCACAGACCACGTAACTAACTCCTTGAGCTGTATCTGTATCTGTATCTGCTGTATCTGCTGTATCTTTATGACCGACATGCTCCGCGAGATGACAGAAAAGAAAAAGAAAAAGAAAAATGCAATGAGTGTAATATATCATGCTGTAAAAAAAAAATCCAGATCATGAACGAAGTAGAAAAGAAATGGTAGCAAAGAATCAACCAACCAACCATGGAAAAAACACGAACAAAAAAACACCACACCTCGCAACAAAACTCCAAACAAAAAAAAGATACTATAAAAAAACACATCAATGGGGTAAAAAAGGAAGAAAAAAGCAAACGCCCGCTCACACTCCTAAATCAATCCATTAAAAAGCCAACCACATTACTATCAAACAAACAAACGAGAAAAATCGATCAATCCATCATCATGACCATCAATGTCATCAATGATGCTTCTGGTGCATATAAACCACACAAGTGTACCTACGTACCACACACAGTCAGCATTCCATCCATCACGCATACCAGCCCGAAAAGATCAACTCACCCAGCACAACACGCCACCTCCATCCCATGCAAACAATACGGGCACCTCGTCGCACCTCCATTCTCCACCATGCCCCTATACATGACGCTCGGCAGATCATGCCAATACTTGCACCTACAGCAGATGACAAACAGCTTCGCAATCGGCTTCGGGGGCGTCGTTGGCCTCGACCCCGACCCCGACCCCGACCCCGCCGACCCCGACCCCGCCGACCCCGACCCGGACCCCAGCGCGGCACCGGAGCTCTTGGGCCTCGAAAAGTAGTCCTGGTGCTGCCCGATTGTCGACCCGCCCGACGAGTGCTTGCCCATGCTCTTTGGCCGCTCCAGCTTCTTCTTCTCGTCGCTTGAAACGCTCTCAGAGTCGATTTCGTTGCGGAGCGGGGAGCGCGACTTGCCTTTCCCTGTTGAGTCTGAGATCTGTTGCTGCTTTGAGGACGATGCCTGTGGTGGTGCAGGGAGAACCTGAAACTTCTGGTCGATGCTCCCCGCCGGCGACGACGAGCCCGAGTTCTGCTGCGAGCTGTCTGCGGATCCCTGGCGTGAGTTTGTAGCAGCGGTGGTGGTCTGGCTATATTCAGAGCTCGCCTGGTATCCTCTATCGCTCTCCGACTTCTCACCGTCTCTTGAGTCTGGCGGACTCAATGGGCGCCCTTTCTTTAATTGGCTCTCCAGCAGCTGCATCTGTCTTACCGCAACATCCAAACTCACAACCTCACTGGCCGCCGACGCAATCTTACTCGGGTCCACCACCGGCACTGGTGGCAGCGTGCTGTTGTCCGAGGACGACGACACATACCCAGCACTCTCCCTTCTTGCCCTCCTCCCCTCTTTTGCCTTCTCCGCAGCCCGCTCCCTTGCCGCCATCCCTCCTAGAATCCCACTGACCCCCGTACCCTCCACCGGACTAGCTGGCGCACTCCCCTCCCTCGACGCAACATGCGACGCCCTCTTTAACGACGTCGGCGTCGTTGTTGTCGCCGTAGCACTCTCCGCCGCCTTCTGCGCCCTAAGCTCCCTATACTCCTGCGCATACGCACCGTGCTTCGACTTCTCCCTACTCGGCGGCCTCGTACTCGAAAAGCTGCCCTTCCTCCTATGAATCCACCCGCCACCATCGCCCACGCCCACCGGCGACACATCGCTCTCGCTCCCGCTACTCAGCGCCTTCTCGTTCCGCGCCGTCGACGATGAGTTCCCGCCGCCCATCATCGTCAGCTTCCACCCGCCCAGGAACGAGCTCACCGCGTCCGACTTCCTCCTCACCCGCCCCTTCGCCGGCGCCTGGTGCTGCTGCTGCCCAAACTCCTCGCTCGCCGTCGGCGGCGACGGCGACGGCGTGTGCTCCGTCGACGATGACGGCAGCGGGATCGGCTCCTCCGCCGTTATCGCGTGGCAGATGTACTCTCCCTGCTCTGCCGGCTCCCCCCCTGGTGCTGGCGCTGGCTCGGGGTGGAAGTACATTGACGGGCGCTTCCGATCCGGGACTGGCGGCGCCGTCGGGGACGGGAGCGACGTGGGGCGGTACTTTTGGCGCCCAGAAGATGTCGGCGGTGCCTTTGGCTGTTGGTGGTGCGCGGTGTTGCCGTTCTTATTAATAGCATTGTTAGTAGCGGCGGCGGCAGCGGCGCCCGGCAGATCGAATCCAAACCCGCCAGACTGGAACGACGGTAGCGGTGGCAGGATCGGCGTCCCGCCGGGCGTACGCGCCTGGATTCTTGGCGGCGGCGCCAGATCTGTCAGGTCCAGGTTCGACGGGAGCGTCTTGGATCGCGAGTGCATATTATTAGTAGTAGTAGTGGTGGTGGTGGTGGTGGTGGTAGTATTATGGTTGTTAGCCGGCGGCGGCGTCGACGCTGATGCAAACAGAGTATTCGGATGCTGCGCGTTGGGGACGTACGATACCTGAGGAAGCGGTGGAGGAGGAGGAAGGTCGTGTGAAGCTGGTAATGAGGTCGAGGGAAGGGCCGACGGGCTATTGTACGAGTCGTACGAGAAGGCCTTGAACGCGTCCCTGCCCTTGCCCCTTATTATAACCTGTGGGGGCTGCGGTGTCTTCGGTGTCTGCGGGGGCTGCTGTTGGACATTCACTGGGAAGTGTTCCTGGTTCGACGACGCAGGTGGTGAGCTGTACACGGAGGATACCGATCTCGGTGATGCCCCAGGATTCTGATTCTGATTCTGACTCTGACTCTGCTGACCCTGCATCTGGACCTGAACCTCCACCTGAATCTGCCTGCCCCCCTGCCGAAGCTCCGATTCGGGCGGGGGCGTCACCAGTCCCGAGTACAGAGCTGCCGCTACCGGCGCCGGGAGGGCAGGTAGAGGCCCAACAGGGAATTCTGCCGTCCGCGCCGACCAATCGCCAGCGCGCGGTTCGCTACCTCTCCTTCCCTGCTGGTGGGAGGCTGGGTGAGACGCTGTCCATGTTTGGTGGTCCGGGGGGTTGGATTTGCTCGACGAGGGCCGTGAATATGTTGATGAGCCGGCGGATGAGGGAAGGCGCTGGTGCGCACCGGTGGTGGTGAGCGATGGCGGGGGATTCTTGCGTCGGAGCTTTTTGGGCGCCTTTTTGGGCGTGGGGGGCGGGGTGTCGGTGGTGGTTGTGGTGGGGGAAAGAAGCGGTAGGGTTACGGAGGGCATTGTTCCTTTTTTTAGGGCTTGTTTGGATGAGATGCAGTTATTACTTGGCCGTTTTTAATAATGGGTGCACGGTTTGCACTGGCTGCTGTTGCTGTTAAGGATACTGATCCTGCTGCTGATCGGTGGTGAGGATGATAGTAGTGGTTGTGGGAAACGGATTGAAAGTGATAGTGACAGTGGTGGGATATGATACGTAGATGCCTTGCTTGTTTGTCCTGGATAAAACGTATTCCAATTTAATTCCAGCAGATAGAATGTGGCAGGTAGTAGTAATTAATTTTTTGGGGGTGTGGTGCGAGGCCCCAAAAAATATAATTGTAATCCGTTCGATTAGCTCAAGAGAGGGAACTTTCTGAGCAAGCGGATTAGTTAGTATATATGTAGAGCAGCATGCCCACTTCACTCATTCCATCTACTTATGTAGCTGCAGTACAGTACCAATCTTTCGTCTCCCCAAACCAGACAAGACAGGACATGCAACAAAAAAAAAAAAGAAGAGACAAAGCGTGCATACATACGTACGTTTTTTTTTCTCTCTCCGTTCCAGAACAACCCAATCAATCAAACACGCCCAACAATGGCTCTCTAAAATAATCCCCCGTTCGTCCGTGGCAATCGAGTAAGAAACCTTGAAAAGAAAAAAGCTGGGCCAGCACAGCCGGGAATGGAAAGGTGTCTGTCTGTCTGTCGGGAGCGTGGTGCTCTCTCTAGTGGTAGAGTTACTCTAGATGGATACTTTCCAGAGTAGGTGAGCGTGAGAGAAAAGAGAAAAACAAGCGGGATGAAGGTTAAGGATTCAGATGTCGTGCATATGCAACAATGAAGTGGGTGGCGGGATAAATCAGTGGAGCGAACGAGCGAGCGAGTCGAGCGAGAGGGTGTGACGGCGGCCAGTAAACTACTAGCAGTCCAAGCACAAGAAAGAAACCCCACAGAGGCTAGTGTGTACCTATGGGAACTTTGGAAGTGAAGCAGAAAGTGCAAAAATAAATTTCACTTTTAGTTGTGAGAGGGCTGGGCAGCTGAGATATGATTTGGAAGTGGGAAGAAAGACGGGGGAGAGGAGAGAGAAACGCGAAAAAAAGACGGAAAAGAAAAAAGAAGCGGTGAAGGGAGGGATAAGATGGCCACTCTAGAGTACAATGCAAAGTGAAGGGAAGAATAGGGAATGGTTCCGGCCGGTACAGCTGTTGGTTGATTAATTAAGGAAGCAAGCAGCAACACGAGCAGGAGCAGCAGCAGTTTAGGTATGTACAATTGTACAACACAACAACAGCAGCCAGTGCAGTGTAACGATTGAAATATGGACAGGTTATCCTGACTTTTTTCTTCTTTTTTTTTTTCCTTTTCCTTTTCCTTTCCGCGCTGCAGTAGTAGGACGTAGTAAGGTAACGGGGTAAAGTAGGTACAAGTAGTGCTGTAGTATTGCTGTGGTATGTAAGGATAAGTCAGGAATCAATCCTAGCCTTGCTTGAATGGAATGACTGAAGCGTCAAGGAAAGAAGAAGCACTATTAGCTGGGGAGGATGCTGTCATGTAGGCACGCAGCAGCAGCAGCACAGGGTTTATAAGTATGTCTCTTCCCATCAACTAACGTCTACATGTACCTACTATTATCACCCTCTCCTCGTCCTTCTTCTCCGGCCTCGGCCTCTCCCCCTCCAAACATGTAGTTTCTCCTGCCTTGCCTGGTCTGAGTAACGCAACTTCGCTTCCCCGCCTAATTAACCAACTATGCACATATGTAGCTGCTACATGTATATAGTAATAGAATTGATTTAAGTAAATATAGCACCTGTCCTGCCCTGGGCAGGTGATCCGCGGTATGGATCAGTTCTACCTACATACACTGTTTGGGCAGCTGCTTCTACTCTACCCAACACCGTACCTGAACTCTATCTGATCTGGCGGCCTGGCACTGTGGGTAACCTCTACTCTACCTCTGGGCGGTTGCATGCCTCATGTAGCACTCGGGCTATATGACGGTACGATTATACATTGAAATTTCCCGTGTCTTGGGTACAGGATACTTGTACTTGTACCTACTTGAGGGCGGCAGCGGTCTGCCTGATTGGCTGACACCCGGGGGGTTGAAGGGGTTAATTGGGTTTGTGTGTTCCTAGAGGCGCCTTCGCCAGAGGAGGTACTTAGAGTCTCGTACCACAGTGCACCCCTGCCTCTCGCCTTCGTTTCCCCAGTACAGCGTCATCATGCCTCTACATCTGCTCTGGGTAGTGTAAGTACATGTTGGTACATGTAGCTAGAATACTCCAGAGCAGAGCAGAGTACTACTACCTAGAGTAGAGTGACTACATGTACCTACACCAAAGTACCACTCCACTCCTCGTATGTACCCCCCCCCCCACTAAAGAGCCCCATTGGCCACATCGAGCGTCCTCTTTCCCCCGATCTGGTCCCGGCAATCGTTTATCGTCCTTCTCGTGATTACATGTACCCTACCACCGCACCACACTGCATCTCGAATTCGCCATGTTCCTCCCCTCCCTCGCCTTCAGATAGATAACCTCCACCACCGCCCCCCCCCCCAGCCCAACCTCACCATCATCACCATCTACAGACACAAGATAACGAATCTCCCCTCCCACCGTCCGATGTCCAAATCTGCAACAACAGCCCCCCCCCCCCCCCCCAAACCTGGCAACAAGACGCGATCTCTCTCTTACTTGCTCTCTAACTCACTCACTCACCACTCACCACTCACCTCAACAACCCCAGCTAGCTAGTCCGGATCTGACCGTCTGCATGCAGGTGGAACATCGCGCCATGCACGTGTGTGCGATCCATCCACCACCTTATTTATAAATAGCACGGGCCAATGCCGCTGCCGCTAAAAAACACTTGTTTGTGTGCCTGGCCACTGGTACTGGCACTCCACTGGGGCAGGCAGGCGGCGACGGACCGTGGGGGAAAAAAAAAACCAGTTTGAGTACAACCACCACCACCACAGGTACCTATCGACATGTAACTACGTGTCAGTAATAGTGGGCTGTGAGTGGCTGCTGGCCGCGTTTGCCGAGAATGGACTGGCCACTTTACAGTGGAAGTGTTCCTGTCGCCCGGAGATTCTCGTAGAACAGAACAGAACAGAACAGAACAGAACAGACAGACAGGACTTTCTGCACCGCCGACCCTCTCAATGTATCTACATGTACCCTAACCTCCAAAGCCCTCCTCCTCCACCTCCTCCACCTCCTCCACGATGTATGTACTATGTACCCTCTAGCTTCATTAATTAGCTCCATCTGTAGAACAAAAAATACTAGTACTACTAGTCCTCACGATCGTAGATACAAAAACCAAACCCACCGGCACGGCACGCCCATCCACCAAATCGGAAGCATTGAGACAGCTACTGTGCTAGAGTACCCAGAGTACCTACATGTACATGTACATACCCAGAGCCCCCCAAGGTAAAGTACCTAGAGTACTAGAGTAGCACTCTGCATAGAAAACAAGCGAAGCCCCAGACACTCTACTCTACTCTCGTCAACAGTAGAGTACTGACGGCTATCACCGAACCCCCAAGTCCCCAACCCGGGCTCCCAAGCCACCACCCAATTGGCCCATCCATCCATCCACTACTCTAGTTAGAGTACCACTAGATCCCACGTGCATCTGTACCTACCTGGTCCTCACCTCTCCAGGCTCTCTCTCTCTCTCTCCCCATCTCACCTCCACTCGCTCAATGACGATACTTGATCCAGAGGCAACGTGCAACTAAAGTAGGTAGCTAAAGTAGGTAGGTATGAGCTGTAAAACTCTTGGAAACTGTCTCACTTCTCCTCCTCCCCGGGAGCCCACCCCCACGGCAAAAATATATTCCGCAGGATTTTCCGATTGGGCCCGGCCAGAAATTGCAGTCATGAGATGTCACTCGCGTCCTATTGGGCGCGCACATACACGTTGAGATTCGATTCACCCGTCATGTATAATGTGCCGAGCTAGAGTAGGGCAGTTGATCGATCGGGTATTTATGGAAGAAGAAAAAGAAGAAGAAGAAAAGAGAACGTAGATTGCTTAATTAGGCACAAGTCCAGAATTAAGAGAAGGGTGCGGTGCGGCCGCGGCGCTCTCGATCTATCTGGCGCAGGTTTCATAGATAGGAATAATATGTCATGTATAGCATGTATGTAGGTACCACAGCACACACACGCACACACACACACAACACCACACTACAATACACCCTAGACAACTAGACAAGACAAGCTAGAGTAGGAAGGCACAGAGTATTCTCGCTGAAACCTGGATGGTGTCATAGATAGAGTACTCTACCTAGGTACTAAGAAGGTGGCCTGTGTCAAACCCAAACCCGCGGAGGGATAGATATCCTGTGCTACGATGCTATGTAGTATCTACAGGGTTTTGTTCAAGGGAGAGTGATCGAGTGAGTGCGCACAGAATTGAATCAAATCAAATCAAATCCAAACATCAATCGCTCACTCAAACACTTCTCGGCCCCAACCAGCCGCAGCGCATGGCATTTTTCTTCCACAAACTCCATTGATTTCTCAAATTTCTAACAATACATCATCATACACCAACACACAAAAAAACACATCCAAAAAAGAAAATAAAAAATAAAACACAAAAAAAACTAATCCTTATTCACAATCTGGACCTTGATGGCCCCGCTCTTCATGTCCGCACTAGTCTTAAACGCCTCGACCGCATCCTCAATCGAAAACCTGTGCGTCACCAACTTCCTAATATTGGCCAGCACGCCACTATTCACCAGCCTGATTGCGCGCGGCCAAGTGTTGCAGTACCTGTACTGGAACTTGAGGTCCACCTCGCGCGTGCTCAATCTCATGAACGGGAACTTCATCTCGTTCTTGCCCACGCCGACGACAAACACCGTCCCGCCAAACCGCACCGCGTGGATCGCCGCGCCAATCGACGACTCCACACCCGTGCACTCCAGCGCAACGTCCGGCTCCACCCCAAGCGCCTGCTTCACCCCCTCGGCCAGCTCCTCCTCGGTCTTCCCGCGGGTCACAAGGTATGTCTGAAGCACGCCGGGGCTGTCTGCGACAAGTGTCTTTGCAAAGTCCAATCGCCCCTGGTCGATATCGGTGATGACGATGGGCTCCGCACCGGCAGCCCTCGCGCACAACAAAGTGATAAGACCAATGGGACCGGCGCCGCAGATGAGGACCGAGTCACCGAGCTTGACCTGGGCGCGGTCGATAGCGGCGAGCGCGACAGAGAGAGGCTCGAGCAGTGCGCCGTCTTCGTAGGACATAGTCTCGGGGAGCTTGTGGCACCATTTGGCGGGGTGGTTGACGTAGCGGCGGAGGAGACCAGGGACCGGAGGAGTACTGAGGAAAAGAACGTGCTCGCATCCATTATAGCGGCCGGTAAGACAGGGTTCGCAAGAGTGGCAGGGAATGTTGGGCTCAACGGCGACTCGGTCACCAGGCTTGAGGTGCTTGACGGAGGGGTGGGCGGCAATGATCTGAAGCGGCGATATCGGGTTAACATGCTAATTCCATGAGAGGGGGGGGGGGGGGGGGCAGGAATAGTATCCGGTATATCTTACCTCGCCGGCGGATTCGTGGCCGAGAATGTGCTTATCTTCGACGATCATAGGGCCGATGCATCCTGCATGCCAGAAGTGGACATCAGAGCTTCGGGGGGTGTCAATATAACTTCAATTCACAATCAGGAATAAGATTACTCACCCGCAAATACCGGTGCTTCGGACCTGGATGACGACTTCGCCGGGCTCGAGAGTGTCGCCTTTCTGAATCTCCTCTACAGAAGGTGTTGCTTCTGCAATGTAGAGATTGTGCTGGGGATCAGTGTACACACCGATATTCGGCTTAAGGCTCGACTTGACGGCCTGAGTAGCAGCTTGTGTTGCGGCGACCATATTTGATGTGGTTTCTGTTTCTGTGGGTGAGGATTTGTTTGGAGGTTGTGGTTTGAATCTATTCTGCAACGACGTCAGAATATATATAACTATTACCTATGGTCACACGGCCACCGGTAATGAGGGGAAAGAGAAAAAAAGAAAGGAAAGACTCGTACCACAAAGTCCGCAAAGGTTTTGAGTATGCAAGCCAGGCTGAAGATTTCTCAGAAATATCAAGTCGTTATATCCCACAGGAAAAAAGAGCTTCACAATGAATATCTACCTCAATATCGGAGAGATAGTAGCCCTTTTATGCTCGGTCTATTTCCCCTCCATTACTCCGCTCCTTCTGACCCCCCCACTCCAACGGTAAATAATTTTCCCATATCCCGACATCAATTGGGAGAGAATCAAAACGAGGGAACGAAAAAAAAGTGAAGCAGAGCTAACTAGGATTACCGCAAGCATTGGAACTGTCCCCGGGAAATTTCAGATTAAAAAAACATCCAGCATTCGGTAAAGCTTTATCCACTCTGACGATAGCATCTCTGCGCCATCTCCGAGTCGAGATGCATTTTTTTTTTCTCAACTACTGTCTGTATGCTATGCCTATGGGAAACCCCACATTATGGGACTAAGCGGGGTGTTTAGATGGTTGGTCGTTCAGGGTCTCGATTAGGCTAAATGGCAGCAGCGATGCTTGCACCCCCCGAACCCCGAACCCAACCCCGGAGCTACCAATTCTCCTAAGGATGACCAAAGGAAGTGGCGGCTGAATTGATATTGAGTTGAGCCACGAGGTTTTAAGAAGTACCCGGGTAATTGGAGTTTTTTTCTGAAGTTTTTCGCTTGGCGATTCCGAGTGTGGAGATTTTCCGTTAAAAGCCAATGATCAGCTGTTAAGCCGAGGGACTAGCTAGCTTCATGGTATACTATGCTACTGCTAGCAAAAGCTTTTTTTAATCTCTTTAAGCTTCAGGTTGAATTTATCCAGCGCGATGAGATGTCGATGCGATTGTAATTGAAACTCCACCTTTCCGCTAAGCTTTTGTTGAATTCAACCGCCAGATACCTACTATGTATGGGGCCCGGGCTATTATCGGCCTAACTAAAAAGGATATCACGATCTTTCCCTCTCACTCTCTTTCACTTTCCTTGACCGAGGGCGGCAGTTTCGAACGGATGATTATGATTTCCACAATGTGGTATTTTTCTCTTTCAGATCGATTGAAGGTTTTCCATTTAGCCAAATCTAAGAGTTGGGTTTGGAATTCGCGGTTTCAGGTTGTCGGTAGATATTGTAGCTAGATACACCTAGCTATGTAAGTAGCTAGGTGTACGCCTATCAAACTTGGTTGAAACGTTATGGATCCCTTATCGTAGCAGCAGCAGTGGTGGTGGTAGTAATAGTCACTACACAATTTCAGATCAGTAATCAATACTGCAATGAGCCCAGTTAGCTCAGGCGTGGATCACTTGCTGTTGTAGGTAACTGAGATCTCGGAGCGGACGTTGAAGGACGATATAAACAAGTGAAAGGAAGGGAGGATTCCGATTGGAGTATCTTTATCAGAACGGATGCTTTGTGACACATATGTTCCCTAAAGCTCTACTGAGCAGGTACAGACAAGTATGCCTCTTCTGGCCTTCTCTGGTTCCACAAATCAACATAGCAAGCAGCACTATTTGGGAGGGAGTATCGGGATATGTGTGACAGAGCATATGGTATTCGTCTGCTACTATTCCAAAGCACCCGCAGATTTAGAATCCATCCATCCATCCATCCATCCACAGCTCATCCGTCCGTCCATCTAGCTAAGCGGAATGAATTAGTGCGAATACCTTCTCCCCCATCTCGATTCCCGAGAACGCCTTGTCATCTACATGTAGAACATGCATCCACGTGCCTGCGGATAAACTCACGCTTCAGCATCCTCAGTTAACCCCATCTCTGGGACGCCCCGGAAAAACCATGCTAGCTAGGGCCCGTAGTCTATATAGTTAGCGATACATTGGGTGTCAACCGCAGCCGAGCATGTTACAGCGCGCCGGGTCATAAAGTGCAAGATCCTGGATGAGTAGGGGTGGAGAGACCGGACGTTGAGATGTAGCTAGTACTATAGAGCGCTGTCAAACGAAAAATCGAAAACGAAACGAAATACGAAGGTCAGAGGGGGTGCTATATTTCAATTATATATTGGTTTACAAAGGCAGGGGAGGTGTCAGCTGCTGTCTTGGGATGAGAAATGCACTAACCTGGTTGGCTGGCTCACTCATGCTCACCGCACCGTCTTTACTCTGGTCTAGCAGTAGACGTGTGCTCTAGAAGGGTGCATAGCAGAGGATGCATATATGCATGTATGCATGCGTAGAGTAGAGTACATGTAGTAGCGGGCCGAGTGCTACGACATGCACTTGACTTGTAGCAGTGAGTGATACCTCATGAAAGCAACCCTAGCCCACCGCCACTCCACCTCCACCGCAAGCAATCACCAGACTGTTGCAGCTGCTGTCCGCCGCACAAAGCTGTCGGCGCCACAGCTTTATCAAGCAGAAAGCAGGCTTTTGCTCTCCCATCATATCCCTCCCCCCACACACTCCCTCACTCGCTCACCCCCACCGCATGCGTCGTCGTCGTCGTCGTCGGGTCGGGATGTCACACGATCAATTATCAAAGAAAAGAAACCGGCGCGCGAAAGGCAAAAAGTCGCAACGGCCAAGAATGTGCAATTCTTGGACTTACATGTATGACCCTGGAACAAGAAGGAGCCCTCGACTCATCGCTCATCGCCCATCCTTAGACATCATCATATTGTTTCTGCTTTACATCATACATCATCAATCCATACTATAGTGCTGCTACTACTACTACTACCTATTACCTACATCATACCCCACCAACCCAACCTAGAGTAGAGTAAAGCTCATGCTCAGGCCAAAGCTCTCCTTACTCCCCCATTCACACAGCGATAGCTAGCTCTAGCTAAGCAGTTAGTATCAAACATCCCATAATGGCTCAAGGAATCATCTACACGTACGTAACATACTGCAACAACCCCCCCCCCCCCTTTCCTTCCTTTATCCCTTTATCCCTGACTAATACCCCCCCCCCCCCCAAAACAGACTAGGCATCATAATCGCCATTCTCCTCCTCCTGATCTTCCTCCGCTCCGTGCTCCTCCGCCGCCAGCGTCTCGCCATCGCAACACTCTCCCACCCCCCGCATCACTCCCGACCACCACCTCCCGTCCCAGACGCAGGAATGGACCTCGTCCGGTAAGCCCACCCATCCCCCCATCCCCCCACCCCCGCCCCACCACACCTTCTCGGGAAGACTAACCACCAGAGCGGCAACTAGTCCCGAACCGGCGGTTACAACCCCCCACCTCCGCGCCTACCGCCGCCCCCACGACGAGCAGCTGCCGCTGTATGAAGCGCCGCCGCCCGACTACGACATGGTTCCAAAATATGTCGATCTTGAGCGTGGAGATGGTGGGGCGCGCAGTGGACGTGGGAGTGGGAGTGGGGACATTGGCGAGTCATCGGCATCGGCATCGGCATCGGCGGTGCCGCCCCCAGGGTACACGCCTCAGAGTGGGCCGGGGCCGGGGCCGGGACAGGCGCCGGTGAGTGTGCCGGTTGCAGCAGCAGCACCAGCTCCAGCGCCTGGTAGAGGAGGGCTGTTTAATGTTGATGTCAGGAGGGCTTGGGGTGGGTTTGGGAGGTAGGGTGGAGAGGAGGGGGTGGGTTTGAAGATTTGCTTCTGCTCTTTTCGTTTTATGGGAGTATTTTAGCTGCACGGTTTGGACAGAAACTCGAGCTGTCAAACTACCTGAGTTTCTGTCCAAGTTGTGTAGTTAAAAACCCTCTATTCCCACTTTCGCTTTGTTATTTTGGGCTTTCTAGTGCGTTGGGTGTGGGTTAGGGTATGGGATGGGATGGGATGGTGTTTTCCTTCCTTTTTTTATGGTGCATTTCTTGGTTGTTTAACTTGGGGTTTTTGGCATGATTATGCTGGCTAGTTATTGTCTATTCCTTCTTTCTCTCTTCCTTCTCTCTCTCTTCCTTCTTTCTCTCTCCCTCTCTTCCTCTCTTCTTCGTTCTCCTCTTTCACTGCTATACCGTACCTCATGTTATGCCCACATGCACACTCTGCCTATCTACATCGACACACACAGCCGGCCTCCACGCCTAAAGTCTCAACACCAGTAACAGTAACAGCAACGGTAACAGTAACTGTAACAGTAGTTCTAGTTCTAGTTCTAGTTAATAGTAAACCTAACACCTATTCACCACCTCTCTCTCTCTCTCTCTCTACTCTGATTTCTCTCTATCTCTATCTCTATCTAGACCTTATTCATACTTTTTCTCCTCTCACTCCCGTCTACCTATACGTTAAATGAGAGTACCACAGACTCCTGCAGCATCCCGGCCGCGTACAAAGAGACGAAAGGGAAAAAAAACGGCTCCCCGCTTAAGTTGGGGAGGCACTGTTGTTTGCAGCGGCGCTGCAAACGGATCTGTGCGAGGGTCTGCATCGGGATGTCTGTGCCGGTTTGAGGCCTGGACGCCATTTGTTTCTTATCTGCGGTGTTAAACAGTACACTCGCTCGCCCAGTGACGTTGATGGCATTTGCAGTCTTTGGCATTAACGTCAGAGATTAAAGCCACCTATACCATTGGCTCTGCCTTTACCCTGCGAGTGAGTGAGTGGGTGAGTGAAGTGTACTTGTTTACAAGCATATGAACCCGAAAATGCAAATGTCTATTTTGTATGGCAGATCGGCGCCACCCCATACAAATAATCCTTGACTTTCGAACTCGCATTTTCGGGTTCATATGCTGGCAAACAAGTAGGTCCCCCCCTCTCAAGACAGCTATCTGGGGAATTTCAAAAGAGAGAGAGATTAGGATGAAGATTGCGGTGACGAAAGTGTAAATATTACTTTTCCGAAAGCTATTTTTTCCGAAAAAAGAAAAGAAGAAAAAACGTGGGGTTTTGCAGCAAGGCTTAAGGCTGGCTGATAAGCTAGCTCTTGTGAAACCAGAGACGCTACTTGTATGTATGGGGGAACTTGTGATGCAGATCGATGCCATTCGACCAGTTAGTCACTTGATCGGGAGATAATCGATAGAGATAGTACTGCGGGGGAGATGTGGCGCTGGGATGGGGCCCGGATGGCAGTCAGTCATTTCGTGGGGAATGTAGAGTACATGTAGTTCGGTTGTGGGGGGGTGTGCATATAAGGTCTTATAAGAGAGATGATATAGATCTATGAGACAGATAATTAAACCTACGAGGAAATTGCATGTAGTTAACTGTGCCAGCTTGTGGAATGACTCACATACGTTGCATAGAGAGCTGAATTAAGAGAGCTGGTTACTGGTCGAAGCTAGGGCAGCTCACTCACTAGCTCTATTTTCTACTAGTGCCTAACCTTAATAGCACGCTAGGATTCTCACTCCTCAAAAGTACTGAATCAACTCAACTTCATCTGTCTATCCCATTTTTATCTTCTGCCACCCTACCTAGAAAAAGCTTCATCGCATATCTATCTGCATCCTTCGTTTCATGGCCGTCTCGAACTAGGTTTGGTCCCATCACCTGCTGGTTTGTGCTGCAGTTTTTTCAACCGCCATTTCTATCATAAATATAACCCAATTGCCATCTGTCCGAACTATCACGGTGTACGTCCATCTCTAGTAGGTATCGAAAAGTGCACATCTTCTCCAGGGACACCTCCGGGTTCGTGAGTGCCCAAGGCATCGCTGGGAATGCCGCTTCCCGTGACGTCAAATTAGCCTGGAAATACTCCCAAATTAGACAATTGCGGATAACACTTGACTATTTACAGGAACATGGATTCCACAGTGCGTCAGTGGTATGTTGGCCAATAATAGTTCTCGCAGTCGCAATTGTCGGGTCGAGGTGCCAAGGCCAAGGCAATAATCACTACAATCAATACCTGGTATCGAATATACCCCTCTACTCTATTCTAACGACTGACCGAGTTTGATTGTGATCGTTTCTGGAGCCGTTGCTGCATGTGACTATTCCTCTGAAGAGATTTTTACTCCTGGATCTTCGTTGAGGGCCATTTCCCCAACTTTATTGTCAGGGAAATATCTGGGGTAACGTTCCTATACTTGGCTTGGCGTTCCATAAATAGCACCATGTTCCGGTATCACCATCACGAACCCTCGACTAACCTTTCAGAAAAACTACATTTTGCTATGATCTCATCGCTATATTTGTGTGGGTCTTCTTATCTTCAGTCGCAAGCCTTCGTTATCTGTTAGGCAGCCTGTAAACCTCGGTGCCGGTGAAGGAGTCGGTTCGTACTAGTAAAACGGAGGTCAACATACTACCCCGTTCACTAAATAGCCACTTGAGGAATAATATCTAGAGTCATGAGAGATGATTTCTGATCAGGATATTTTCTTATATTCTCTAAATAATATGCCTAAATAAGGCGATACCGGTACACTTGTGGTCATGTTACTAAGCCTCAAGCGTAATTCAAATTTACGAACATACTTCAACGATTACATATGTCGACATTCCTAGCGTCGACTAAACCATAATGGCACCGGACTCCCTGCTTCTATTAAGGGTATGGTTGTGTGTATTGGAATAATATGGGATCCTTTGTGGTGGTTGCTGTGGCCCGTGAGACTTTGTGTGAGTGAGAGCCGGTGAAGAGCGTCCTTTTTCCGGGCCGGTGAACCCAACACCACCGCCATGGAGCTTCACCGCCGCCGCCAGCTGCCGAACAGAAGTGAAAAAAAACTACACGATGGACCAAATACAACGAATCAAGTGATCCTTACACACCACGATAGAAATTGAACCAGTCGAGAAAAGACATGGGCTGTTGTAGCACTACTGACTGACCCACAGCCTCGCCGCTTCCGGTTGAGAGGCGTGGTTGCTGTATTTGCATTTTTTTTTTTTCGGTTTATATCAATGGTCATGCATACCGAGGGGGAACACAGTTTATCTCTCCCCTTCTCTCCCCTTCCTTTTTCCCAACCATACCGTACCTTCTTTTTGCCCCACCGCTTCACTGCAGTCCCTCATTATCGTCTGGGCCCTTCTTCTTTTTTATGGAGTTTTCTCGGATTTGACTTCACAACTCTGTCGACTCCTCCTTAGGTTCTCTTCTACCGTACCGGTTGTTTATTGTATAAGAGGACAGGATCCTCTTGAGTGAATTCCTAGCGAATTCTTTTTGTGTCCCTTTGTTCATTTATTTTCTATTATTTCCTTTTGTTCTCTTAAGGCACTCCCGCCAACTGCCTTCCTCTAATATCTACCTTTCACACACACCTCCAATATACCTACTCTTAAAGAACCATCACATATATACCCATCCACCATGACGCTCGCCCGCGCATCCACTCTCCACCCCAAGCCACTCCCAACGGGCCCACCCCCACCTATACCAACATCCTCAGATGCCCCCGAACAACCAACCCTCATCTTCCGCACGGGCAAGTCCATCCGCCGGGCCTTCACCACCCGCCGCAGCAGCCCACAGTCCGCTGAGCGCCGAAAGCGCTCCCAGAGCGCCCGTATAGAGATGATAGGGAATCCCGTACTGCACCAAGACGAGGAAGGAAAGACCCTAAAAACACTGGCCAAGATGGGCGTCCACCTTGATGACGACTTCGGACTCATACCTGCTGGAGCTGGAGCTGCGGTGCCAGCGGGCGGCGAAGCTGCTGCTGCTGCACAACCACCGGCACTGAGGAAAACGTTAACGATTCAGCGGAAACCGGTGCCACGGCATTCGGCGCTGCCGAAGGAGCCGGTCATCGTGGAGGAGACGATAGCTGAGGAGCCAGAGCCAGAGGTGGAGTCGGTCAGTGATGAAGAGTGTAAGAATTCGAATCTTACAACGAGGCGGGACAAGCGGCGAGGGTTTGTCTATTATGGGTTGGAGGAAGAAGAGACTGAGGTCCCGAGGCCGCCTCCGCATGTTATGGATTGGAAGCTCCATAATGTTGAGGAGGAGGACGAGGACGCAGATGAGGAGGAGAATGATGACGAGGAAGATGAGGATAATATGAGTGGGCAAGAAAGCCCTGTTAGTAGCAGCTGTGCACACGAGGCAGACCCTGTTGACTCGATACGGTGGAGCTTTTTAGCCCCGTCGATTATGGTGAAGCAGGATACTCTGTGCCTGAAAGTAGCCGAAGAGAAGGAGCCAGTCAAAGAGAAGGAAGAAGTTGAAGTGAGGGAAGCAGCCGAAGAGAGAGAAACAGTTGAAGAGAGGGAAGCAATCGAAGAGATGGGAGTAATCGATGAAGAGGCAGAATTCTCGGACGACAGTTCTGAGGGCGAGGATGTAAAGGAGATGCGACGAGAACTGGAGTCTGTTGAGAACCTACTCGGAAGCATAACCGCATCCTTCGCCCAAAGCTCGACGAGCCAACAAGGGCTGATGCTGCCAGTGAGGAATGGCAGTCTAAAGTCTCGATTTACGGAGTCTCGTGAAGACCTCCAAGATAATACGAGAGCCTCCAGTTCAAATTCCCGATATGACGATGAATCACCGACGTTGGGTCATTGCCCGACGTTGAATATTATCAAGCGCATTGAGGTTGCACGGAACAACATGGGCAAGAGCGCCGATACAATTGAGAGTATGGAGAAGGCGATAAGTAGGACCGAAGACATGATTGTCAAGATCAAAGCTCAAACAGGGTACGGACAGAAGACAGGTCTTACCAAGCCTGAACCCCTCCAAACGGCAGAGCCTGCGAGAAGGCCGCCATTTACCTGCACCGCTGAAGGTCCAGAAGAGTCCTTGCGGGCAGTCCTTTCATCACCTACTTCACGCAAATCCTTCTCCGACTATCTGGACACTACAGGCAATAGCAACAATAAACGTGACTCTAATATCCTCCGTCTCTGGCTTGCAGCAAGGGCACATTCGGCCGCTCTTCAATTTGCAGAACAGCTCGCAGAAGAGATCAAGTCGACATGCTGTCAAGAATTCCCAGATATCTTGGAGCCTACGCAGAACGTCGAGGTTTCTAAGATTGAGGATACGGTTTTCAAGGAGATGTTGCACAAGGAGTTCCCTGAGTTCCGCCGCCACTCTCAGATGCTACCAAAAGGAGTGCAAGAGAGTCTTGATAAGCTTGTTGCCTCGCCAGCATTGGAGCCGGAAATACCGGAGGTGGTGAAGTTGGAGCTTCAACAAAAACCACTTTCGATCATTAACCCCGTCGCTGAGCAGGAGCAGCCTGAGCAAAAGCAGCAGCTCGAACAGAAGCAGCGCCAGATTTATCCCGTCTCCGCCGATAAGACTGTGATAGACTCCAAGAAAGAGGTTATGTTAGACTCTCTCATTAAGCCGGTTCCTTCTACAGGGCCGGCCCCTGTTATGAAAGTTTCCGGCGGACAACAAAGGAAGATTCAGCTGAGCGCATCCAAGCATCGTTCTTTCCACGCCGTTCAGTCTTTCAAGGTGGACGATGTCGCGGATCAGATCCCGGAACTCCCAAAGATCCCCTTGGCATATAGGAATTCGGCCCCCAGTACTGTCAATATGCCTGTCCTTAAATCGGCGGTTGCTGTCGTTGAGCATGCCGGGGTTGTGGAAACAACAGAAGCTTGTACAGCTACTATTGCTGACACTCCCGCGCTCAATAGCAAGCAAAATGAGGGCAAGAAGACACTGGCGGACATTGTCAGGAACGAGATTATGGATAAAGCCGAGTCGACGCCTGAGACTGAGAAGTTTGACTTAGCTGCTATGGGTATTGTGAAGAGGAACCGTGCTGCACTCATGCAGAGGATGGCAGCTTTGGAGGGTGCGAAGATTTAGTTTGATATTCTCTTGTTTTATTTTTTTACTTTTTTATGCTTTGGATGACAGCGGCAAACATTTATTATACTGGGATTTGGGTCTTTTCTTTCTGTTTTTTTTCCTTCTTTCATTTTTTGGAGTATTATGGTGCTTATGGCTTTGGGATTATTTTACCCACCTTCCTCTCGTTTAGTTTCAACCTTTTTTTTTATTCCTCTCTCTTCTTTTCCTTTTTTTTTTTTTTTTCCTCTCCATTTTTGTTTCTATTCTATCCCTCCTCTCTTCTTTGACATGGGCAGGCCTGAGATGTTAGATTTCATGTTCCTCGGATAGAGTAGATATATATATGTGAGCAAAGTACTAGAAAAAACCTCCTACCTTTTTGGACGGCCGTCTAAATTAGGTCCAGCATCCCTTCTAGATCATGAAAGATTTTATAATCATCCGCTTTGAGCCTATTGGTTTGCCTTGGACTATTCATGCAATTTTTCCATTCTGAGACTGCTACTTCTTCCTGCCGACGGTGACGACCTCGGAGGGAGTTCGCATGGCTAGAGGGTGTGAAACGTGAATTTTGTCTAGAAAGATCAGCGCAGATGTATGGTATCAAACAGTCAGAGTCGGCGCGGTGAGTAATAAAGAATATGTGTCCCTTGAGCAATTGCAAGACTTGTGGCAACGATGACAACGTCTATGAATGACTCGCTGACGGGCCTAAGGATAGTCCAAAGCGACATTTCTCTCCCGGGAATAACTGCTTGGATTTCAATCAATCGAATTATAGAAGCGTAAACACTTGATAGATGAATTGTGCAACGTTAGTTATTGATGGGATCCATACCAAACGTATAAATTAATAAAGCCCCATACCACAATCGCAAGGAGCTAGGCCCACTACGGGCCGTAATAGTTACCAACCGCAATCCCAACTACAATAGTAGATTATTAGTTTAGTAGTAGCGCAGAGCATATCCGCAAACCAGGGTAATAAATAAACGACAAATAACACAGTCAGACATATATTAATAACGCACGTAATGTAACTTACTAGAAACATATGTTTATTGATGTCCGCCCCCAACCGCCAACCCAAAACCCCAAAACCCCCACTAACGTTTTCGACCCAGTACTGTGTCAGACCTAGAAGTGTGTCGCATGGCAACGGCACCAAAACCAGACACAAAGCCCCCAAAAAGAAAGAAGACCCCATAACACCATAATAGAGGATAATCCATCTGGAAACAATCCTAATCCGTGTGCTTTTAAATGGAATTCATTTGTTAAAAATCTGGCAGTAAATATCTCAAGAGATGGTGGAGATAGCTTTGGCAACAGAAATCCCCATACAAATTTGTATGGGATTGACACTCTTCTATGTCTGACACAGTACCCGGTCTAAAACGTTATCTATCCCTTGATCGCCGCACTCTATTTGGCAATCCGCGCGATCTCATCAAGTGTCGCTGTATGGGGTTAGATAAGCCAAACAGGGGGAAAAAAACAGGAATAGATCCCGGGTTTCCTGAAGATCTGATGATGACGGGTGCAACGACAATTAAGCAGGGACAGCTTTTCCCTGGATAAGGGATTGAGGGACCGTTTAGGTTCAGAACCTGGATGGACTCGAAACGAGGGTTCAACTGCCAATTGCCCTGCCTGCCTAGTTAGAGATGGGGGGGGCGGGGGCCGGACCCTTAGGCGTTGATACCCTTACTTCCGCAACGTTAACGGGTGCGGCGTTGTCGTTTTCATGAAGAGATGTCAAATGGCATCGCCATCACCATCAACCACTCGACACATGGGAAATGATAATGCTTCCGGAAAAATTCCTCTCCACCCTTAATTAACTAGGCCAATTTAGTACTCAACCAGAATAATTGCGCACAGTCCCCAGTTGCTATTTCTTAAGTGGCTTACATAAAGTTTAGAGCCGCATATGTAGAGCCGCGCATTTAGAGTTACACGTACAGATTTTCATCCGTGCGCGACGCAACGCATGCCAATGCCTTATCGTTATCTATGATAACAAAAAAAAAAAAAGGCCCCTCCATCCATCCAATCCATCCTCATCCAGATCTGTTCAAAATAACATTATTTTTATTGTTGTCGTGGAGGGGAAGGGGAGGGGGGGCGCGCCGTTTCATATCCTCCTCGGAAGTGTTTTTTCTTTTTTACTTAGCATTAGCATCATACATTGCCATGACAGGAACATATCACAAAATATCACTCGCTGTTCTGTCCGAGAACCGTCCGAGAAGAGATATATCAGCCTAACTACTCTTGTTGTCACTGAGCAGTCGGGTAACTTTTTGTAGATATCACATATCTCGCGAGGTCACGTCCTGAAACCTGCCAGCTTTCTCATCTGCAAGAAAGAGTGAGAGGAACGGCGAGATAGTTGTGATCATTACCCGTTACCGTACCCCCCTCCCCATCATCATCACCTTCCATGCGACGCGCGCAGAAACTTGGTGGCCGTTGTCAAGCTGCGTTGCTTTTTTGGGCGCGTGTGAGATAGGCTTTTCCGGGGTAACGTTTCATCATCATGATGGAGAGGGGGCCCCGGCAAGTCCCGACCAAATACTCAGAAGGTTTCCCACCCTTCCTGACATCTGACATCTGACATCTATAGCTCTGGTACAGGTGCAAGCTGAAAGGGTTCGATTGGCTTTGTTTGTGCCCGACCACGAGTCTCAAAGAACACCCAGGTGCCCTGTTCTGCTTACTACACAGTTACCTCAGGGAACCGTTACTTATATGAGTAGAGCCGCGGGCAAATCATCCCCGACCACCTCTCTCCAACCCTCAACATCAACTCCGGATTATAGATCCGGAGTCCGCCCCCCCCCCCCAACTGTCGGCCGCAGCTTACATAGTTCCGGGAGTCTACCAAGACCATCTTCGCCGACGACAAAGTCCCCTGATAGAATTTCTTTTTTCGTCTGTCCGTTCCCTCCCGGACGCGATGTAGAACGATCGTCCCGTAATGACGGATGGTGAGCGTCACCAAACCCTTCTCTTGCCGATCGAGCACCAAAGGGAAGTTTGAAAACAAACAAGTAGATAATTAATTATCTATAGCTAGAGTAGCTAGGCACGGACGGTATCTGATCATCCAGCCAGCAGGGTGAGAGGTGGGATAAAGTACAGTTATCTAAGGTCAGGCACACGTATATTATCGATAAGCCACCAAAAATAAACGGTGAGTGACAGCAGGCAGCGTACTCTAGAGTAGGTTGGTTTCAGTCCTGGAAGGGGGTGATGGGGGCCGAGTGACAGTAGAATTAGGGGGTGGGAAGGTGAGTGTGTGGTGACCGTCTTGGAGTAGAGTATGTACTGGTTGGTAAATAGTGAACACCACACACCCCGCTCTGGCGTTCTGCTTCTAAAGTTTAGAGTAGTTAGCTGCTGCAGCAACCACCGACACACCGACAAACCACAACCACCACAACCACAACCACGTACATGATACATATGCTGCCAGCATGCCTGTGCATTGCATAGCAACTACTCTCCCTAGAGTACGCCAGAAGTACCTACTCTATCTACCGCCATCTACTGGCTCGTCGATTCCCCGAGATCATTGGGAGGCGGTCAAAACAACAGCGACCCTAGTCAGGCGTCGACGACGGTAAACGGCTCTAGAACGAAAGAACTCTCAAAACAGAGAAGGGATCCTCACCCCCCCTAGGGTAGGGTTAGTCATGCATCATCATCATCGTACATAAGAGGCAAAGGTTGCGCCATTCGAAAATAGCCAACGTCCGTGAACGGAGATCTCCAATTATGGTAGGTACAATACAGTATCCTCAATGTAGTTTATTATACTGGTAGTCTATCCAGAGAGGAATTACCTATAAACGCTATGAACCAACCGTGTATATATAAATCAACCAATAGAAAAGGCAGCCCACACACGCATACTGTATGAACAAGGAAATTGATAGAAGGAATAATAACCCATATATAGAGATAGCAATGATGGATAAAGCAATCCGCTAATGATCGATAAAAGTATGAATCAAAGGATAAACTCAAAGAAACTCGTGAAAGAGAGATAATCGATCACCACAGGGATGGTATATCTGAAAACTCTGGGATAGGTACGGATTGGTTGAAACCAAGCTCTTAACTGGTGATGAGGGTGAGAGGGGAGCATAAAAATAAACAAAAAAAAGAGAATAGTACAAGATAAAAGTAAACCCGAAAAAACAAAATAACTTTTATGTTGATAGAAGACACAATTCAACTTCCCGTGGATGCACACATCATCATAAGCCTATCATGAACTGTCACCCCAATATTTAACTTAACTGAAACGAACCAAAAAACCAAAAGGCGCCAGAAACAATAACCCCCTCCTGCAGAAACGCAACCGTAACCAAAAAATAAAAAAAAATATAATCCAAAGAGCGCAAAAGATAACAAAAGCCGACGTTTAAAAAGAAAACTAATTTTCCGAATATTCCTTTTGCCATTTTTTTTTTTTTTGCCCCATAATGTGACCTGGTGTCGTTTTCCATGAAACGAAGTCATCCCATGCTCAAGAGAAACAAGGAAATATATGGACTACACCCTATGGGGTGAGGCTACCATTTCCGTGAAAACGAAGGATCCCAAACACTAAACCGATAATCCCCAAAGGAAGAAATACAAGAGAAGAAATTTAAACCCCAAAGTACCGAAATGAAAAAGGATAACTGAACCTAGAAATACTACCACCCATATAAAGAAATTAAGTGGAAGCCAAGACAAGTAAGAAAGCTTCTCCCGGAGAAGTAGAAAGATTAACACCAAAGATCAATGGGCGTTGTAGATCATACCATTCCCAGGTTCATCGGGTCGTCTGGATTGATCACACCGGCAACAGCCACGACTGGCTGAATACTGGTCTGTGTCAACCCCCATGGGTGGTGTGGGATCTGTGGTACTTCAAGCCGTTCAAATTCTTGTAACGTTTCCCGCAGTATTCGCATCTGTAGGGCTTTTGCTTCTCCATGCCCACAGTGCCTGGGTAGGGGGTAGATGTTTCTGGGTTGAGAATCGAGAAAGTTCCATCAGCGTTGTCATGGAGCTGCTGATTAGCGTGTCCGTGCTAAAAGAAGTGTCAGTAAATCCTTGCAATGTAAAACAAGGGTAAGGCAATAAATACCGCTTTGTGATACTTCAACCCGTTCTGGTTCTTGTATGCCTTTTCGCATCCAATTACTGGGCACTTGAAAGGCTTATCTTCTTGAGGTAGGATGTTGCCTGTAATTTGTCAGTATGCAGTATCGCCTTTGTGGAGTATGGTGCCACTCACCATTCGCAGCACTAATCATGTGTTGATACTGTGAGGTGTAACCACCCATTGCAACCCCCCCGGGGCTGAAGAGGGTCTTGGCTGGCTCATTGATGCATAATTCAATGTTGCCGGTGGCAAGCTCGTAGTAGTCCGTTGTAGGAATGTGGAGATTCTGCTGGTTTCCCTGGACAGTATTATTTTGTGGAAAGCCATATTCGTGCTGATCCATGGCATGCGGGGTACCGGGTACAGAAGACTCCGGCGAGAAATGTGATGGCTTCTGCCCAAGGCCTGAAGGCTGGGCATGCACGAGGTTTGGAGTGCTCTGGTAAGACGGCTGGCTGTGGGTGGTAGGAGTCGGGGGGTACGAAGTATGCTGATTGTGGTTTTGGGGGGTGAGCGGGGCAGGTGGAGGAGTCATATCGTCATCATCCATTTCCATGTCACCGGCAACTTCACCATCTTGCTCCTCGTCTTCTTCTTTCGCATCATGTTCCTCCTGCTGGCGCTGCTGTATCCGTTGCATCAATCCTAATTGAATCCCACCCATTCCACTGATAGGGCTAGTCATTCCGGCAGCATTTTGCTGTTGTGGTCTCGGGTGCTGCTGTTGCTGCTGTTGAGGTAAGTCACTGCCTGTGGGTCCATTTTCATCGCGACATACCGTTCCAGATTGTTGGGCGTGGTGCTCCTCGTAATGCCTGAGAAGGTCATGGAGAGATGGGAGCGGAAGGCCGCAGCAAGAGAAATCCCGGCAGAAATCGGCCTCGAGCTTTGGAAGGTATGACGAAGAGTGGAATGATGGGGATCCGAATGTAAAGGGTGATGTTCCAGCCATGATAATACTATAGAAGAGACGTGTTAGAAGTTTAGACACTATAAAATTAGATATTATGATTTAAAGGAATTGAAACAGAAAATTGAAATTGAATGCTTCAAAATAAATATGTATAGGGGGTATGCTTGTCATAGTTGTCATGCAGAATCATTGAGGACAGCACTGGTATAATATTCATAATTACGCGACCAGATTAGGGCAATCCCGGCGGTAACGTGTAATACGATCGCAATTTCTCCGGGGAACTCCTGGCGGGGCAAAAATAAATATATACGTACTCATCGCGTATCCAACTCCCAACACTAACGCCTCCCCAGCTCATTCCGCCACCCATTAAACTTCGTGCCATATCACCATTTACCATACTTTCCCGCCGCAATTTACTAGACATAGCGAGTGCATTGTTTTGTGAAATACTTCCACTTCGAGCCCCGACAGGCTCCATTGTGTAGCCTGCATAAGCTTCCCCAGCAGCCCGAAGCTGACTAGTAAGATTTGATTTGGGCTGGTGCGGGCGAGGCCGGGAGGTAATATCAATTGGGGCGGGCATCTTGTCAAAATTTGGGTCTGGTGTTGATGTAACTGTCCTCGGAGGCGTAGGTTGTGCGTGGCGAGGATATGGGGTAGAAAGAGGAGTTGTGTTATAGCTCTCGTTGGAGCGGGAAGGGCTCAATGACGGCGTTCTAAAGAAATCCGTGATGGGCGATATTATGGGGTATTTGCGTTGAAAGCTGATGTATTACTGACGCACAAATGTGAGACAGAGCAACAAGACTTCGATATGTTAGAAAGATGACTGTAATTTTGAAAGAGGATGAGAAGGGCAAAGGGGTTTAAAGAGAATTATCTTTAACCCTGGGGGGTGTGAGGGGTTAATGAATAAGAATAAGAGGAGGAGAGGGACAGGAGAGGGTTCAGGTGGTGGCGTACTAAGTACTGGGAGGGATGTGGGGGGGGGGGGGGCTACTTTGGCTACTCGTATCAAGATATGTTTGTAAGAAGGTGGACGTCCGGTTGACGTTATTAACAAGCAGTCCCACTAGTGCGGCGGGCTAGGATGAGGGCTCGGGGATGTCTAGGCAAGATCGGTCGGCGGGGTGGTAGCCGGAAAAGGTGTACAGTGTACAGCTAATGTGGCTCAAAATAAAGGAGGATACAGGAACAGAAGTAGAAGGAGGAGGAGAACGGGGAAGCAGTATGTTAAAGTGGGAGAGAGAAGCTGGGCGGTGTTTAACTGCTGCTGCTGTGATGGTGGGTGGGGGGTGGGGCGGGCAGATGGATCGCAGTTGCCTCTGTTATTGAGACACTCTTGTTAGACAGTGGTGTAAATTATTTTGAGCGTTGGCTGGCTGGCTGGGTTGGGTTGGTGGTGTCGCACACACAAGCGCGTGTTTGATCAAGCCCGGCAACGAAGGAGATGAAGGCGCCGGTAATATCTCACTACTGGCGATAGCGATAATAGTGATGAGGGAGGGGAGAGAAGAGACGAGTAAATTCAAAGGTGCAAATGGTAGAAGGGAAGCAGCAGCAGCAGAGGAAGAAGAATAAGAATAAGAAGATCAAGTAGAAGAGGAAGGGTCAAAAACACCACTGCCAGCACCGGAAAACAGCAGCATGAGGGGTTCTAATCGGGTTCTAACTGAAGTGTTAGACCAGGCGAGCCAACGAGTGACTGACCGAGTGACTGTCGAGTGACTGGGTGGGTGACTGGGTGACTATGTGACTGGGCGGGGAGCTGCTTTCTCTCTTCGAACCCGGATAACAGGGGTTGAATCCAGAGGTAAAAAAAGATCAATGTATGTCCTTACAGAAGAGTCGAGAGAAGTGAGAACGACGTGCACGACAAGAAAGCGCTGCTTCAAGAATTTGTGTTTGGTCTGACTTTCCTGCTGTCAGAAAATTGTGTCTCTGGTCTGTACTTACCCGTTCTTATTGCTTTATTGATTCGGACCAGCCCGACGACACCCCTCAGCCAAGATGGAAACTATACGGTAGCAAATGAGATCCAGTTACGAATATGCAGTACAGCATGGTACTCTATGCACCATGTGGTGCACTCTTGACTAGGTACTCTGCTCTACTATGGAGTAGAGTATCTGCTCTACCTACTCTACATCGATTCTTATGACCGGGTCTGCACCTCTCGGAGCTGCTGTCATCTCCACCCTACGTTAAGCAAGATCCGATCCAAAATGGTATGTCTACTCTACGGTTAACACACATGAAACCATTCAGGTGATTACGCCCAGGTAATCTGTTACGGCTATAATTCAAGCCTATGGGCGCTGAGACAAGTGAAATGACGTCCTATCTAAAAGCTTTGGGTCGTTGACGGTCATGGCCTCGTTGTTGCTCATGTTGCCTGTGATAAATTTCTAGGATATCCGGCTTGGCGATTAGTACCACGCATTCCGAGCCAGCGTCACCCAAGCTGGGAAATAATTTCGAAATACATAAATCAAACTAGGTCCTCCAGGGAACATACAATTCCTTCGTTGAACAGTTATCCTTCCCGGAATTGACGGAAGGTTTCCCAACACTTCAAGGCCGTGATTATGATTATGATGATAGTACGTATACCAATTTCCCAACTCTCTCGCCGCGCGTGGACAACCACCTAGAAACCACCACCTCCTCCACCTCCTCTTCCTAGGATCCTCAGAATAACATGCTACCTCCAAAAAGCAACGAAATCCTCCCCCCCCGCTCGCTTCTCTGCTCCCAAGCACAAACCAGGATATATCTCCCCACCCCCATTTTCCCAAATCGGCTACCCACATGCATGCCCAAACTCACGAACTTTAGGACGGATGCAGTCATCATCAAATTACGGTGGTTTCCACCCCTAACCCTCGTGCCCAGCTCAGCTAACGTGGTTTGGTAAAAAGCCTATTCTGTTGAAAACATGGTACTATGTGTACCTGCTCTCACGTTTCCATGCTGAAGTACCTAGATCTGCATATAACAGAAATCAATCTGGCACTTTATGCAAGATTTGACTTTAGTCTGGTCCTGAAACTTACACCAGTACGAGTAGCGTGGATCTGAGGGCAAGATTATGTCCCTAACCCTGATAATTTACTCAGCGCAAGTAAGTTGTACTTCCAAGCCGGATCCAGATACTCTCTAGAACTCCAAGATTTAATCTGCTGCTGCTGATTGCCGACGTCCTTTCGGTCCGGGCCGATGTGAATAACCGAGGCAATATGTTTCCAATTCATGATGTTTTTCAAGTTCTTTAATTCCGGGTGAAGGGATTTTGCACTATCATTTTCTTTAACCAAATAAACTCCAATACATATGGCCTAAGTGCATACGGTAGAGTTGAGTAGAACTAGAGATTTATGGTTGCGCAAAATCCCCTGCGGGCTCGATGTAGGTACATATGTCGCAACGGTCAGGCTGCAGCACCAGATGTACCGATTGCAATAGGTATGACCAAAATCTCCCAACGGAAAAAAAGGCGTCAATGATCAAAAATGCAAGTTTGATGATTTGCAATTGTGAGTCGGTAAGTCCAAGTGTTTCTATGAGCACGTTCCCCCACCGCCACTCCGTCCATAGCCACCATCGGGAATCATGCAAAGATGTTACGCGTCAAATTACGACAGTAGCTGATGGGGTTCATGATCCCAGGATTCTGAATAGAGTGAGGACGACCCACAAGTGACTAAGCGTGCGTAGGGCGGTCCGCAAGCCATAGACTACTGTAGTTACTAGTTAAGGAGAGATCCCCCTTCCGGAATAAGCTAATTATCAATCCGACCTAAATTCCGTGCGCCAACGATCGTTTGTGAATAAGCCTTGAATCGTTACCAACCAATCATTTCCCTTGATTCTCGAAGGAAGACTTTCCGAAAGGCCCAGAAGCATGTTAACTGCATCTACTAAACAAATTCGCCGAGGTGGTTTGTGTATGGGAGCGATGTTTACTGCAGCTACTAGCCGCACTTCTAGCATGTATGTATGGGCCCATAGTAGTGGATGGCTGGATGGCTGGCGGGAGGGGGCACTTCAGTCTCCCATGGCCGTCTAGAATTTGAACTCCCTTAAGCAGGCCGCTGTCAATATAAAGATGGCGTGCTAAGTCATGTGATATCGGTCCGCGGAGTTCTTCGGAGAACAAAAAAAGGACTCGGAGGAAGCAGCGGCAGCAACGGCTGAGAGTCGTGATCCAGTCTAGAGTGGTGGATTTGCTGAAACTCGACTAGGTTCTTAGGGCCATCCTGATTCGTGAATAGTAACTGCACCCGCGCGCTCTTTCACTTCAGAGGAACATTCTAAAGTCTGTACTAAACTTTAATTCGGCACCTGTGGCGGTATTCGCAATTTCTCTGAGCTGCATAGTTGTGTTTTCCAGGGTGCTGTATCTGCTAAGAACGACTGATAGCTCAGCCTCCCTTGCCAACGACCTACCACGAGTCCACGACCTACCCACGACCTTCAAAGCCACTGCTTGGAATTCAAGCCAAACAGATTGTTAGGAATAACATGAACATCCTGAAACACACGAATATCGTTCATGGTGGGCGCACAGCATAACTCCACGTTGTTCCGTACAAGGATTGTCGTGAAGGAAAAGCGACCGTTGGAGTGGACCCTGGGCACCCGCCCAACTAGAAGCACCCCTAACCCACAGGACGGGGGTCAACTCGCTAGAATACGATCTTCATTAGGTCATCTGAAACACCCTGCTTCAGAGCTTCGCGCCATTCCTCTTTCTGCTTCCCTGCACAGATGCACCCAGCACAACACCCTGGTTGATGTACCCAGAATTGCGTGACCTCCTCCACGCACTTTATCTACAATTCTGTCTTCTGTCACGATCAACCAAAGATTTATATTTCGGTAACTGCGATTCCATCGGACCTTACATAAAACACGGTTCGATGCTCAGTGTTCCGGCATCCGGGGCCAGGAAACATCCCCATTTATCCAAATTACGAGATTTTGCATCGCAGGTCCAGCACCCTCAATGAAGTATGCAAGGTTCACGAGTCCTCTCCTGAGAATGGAGCATTCTAAACCCCCCACTCTCCGTACATAAGTTGCTTCTTTTTCTTGGAGATCGTTCTTGTTTACTTTTTCAATTCCGCCTTTACATGATGTCCTTTACCCATGGGGGGAGGCTTGCAGACCAGAAGTCCCCCAATGGTGGCGGGGAATGCCGCTTTAGGGCATTTTTCTACAGGGTAACCTGTGATGCCGCCGTCCCCGCGTACCTTTCCTTTTGCAACTTCCATCGCATTGAGATGCCCTACGGAGCCCAGGACGGTTTTGAAGACGCGACCGTTTTTTTTTTTGACAAGGCCTGACAAGGGTCCGGGGTTACTGAGAGGAGAGAAACGACATCAAGGACTACGCTATTCCGTGCCTCGATACTTACAGTCGAAGGCCACGAGACCACTGGAGAGGAATACCTATCGTGAAAAGTGAAGTGATATATCATTTTGCATAATTAAGAGGAAATACACAACTCAATCAAGTATGGCACGTTACTGTGGCAGAAGATACGAAAAAGAAAAGAAGGATGACGGCACAGACACAAAG